TTATAAGTCTATGGAAGAGCCGCACGTACGGCACGCTACGCTCCTGCGTACTCCGGCTTAGCGCGATCTGATTGATTAACTTTATTCGTTAATAACTCTGTAAATAATGGTCTGAGCCAAAATTGAAAAAGGAACTTTTAGTTCAAAATTTCATTCTCTTTCACGCCTTGAAATATTAATTAAGCGTTACGAGACACTCTGTAGACATAGAAGGAGTTTTTGATAACACTTCAAACAAGTCTATTAAAGAAGCAATGATCAGACATGAGACCTCCGAGGCACTCGTGGACTGGACACAAAACAGGGCAGAAACTTGACCGTCAGCTTTGGTAACACAACAGTAAGAGGGCGACCAGCCGGGGGCTGCCCACAGGGGGGGGGGTTATTTCCCCCTTGCTGTGGTGCCTGGTGGTGAACGAACTCCTGACCATATATAAGGAAGCAGGGTTCCTGGTCTATGGCTATGCAGACGACATAACCATCGTGGCTAGGAGCAGCTTTCTTTCAATCCTCAAGAAACGGATGAACGAAGCCTTGAGAATAATACAAAACTGGTGCAGAGCCAAGGATCTGATGGACCCATCAAAGACCACGGTAGTGATCTTCACCAGGAAATACAAGCCAGAGCCCATAGAACCACTAAAGCTATGGGGTGTGAGCATCTCATATTCCGGCTCGGTGAAGTATCTGGGCACTGTCCTAGATAGAAACTGAGCTGGAAATTACATCTCGAGGAAAAGAGGAAAAAGTTTTACACCACTATGTGGGCTTGCAGAAGAGCCCTAGGCAAGAACTGGGGCATTAAACCCAAGGTTGCTTTGTGGATCTACGAAACAGTATTATTACCTAACGTATGCAGCAGTGGTCTGGTGGCCCAGGGTGAAGAAAGTGGAAGCTAGGAACCTACTTAAAAGCCTACAAGGTAATTACCTAAGAGCTGTAGTGGGGGCCAGGAAAACCATTTCAACAGAGGCGCTGAAAGTAGCCCTCTGTTTACCACTCCTAGATCAGAAGATCATCTATCTGGCCAGACTTACAGCATGCAGACTCAAGGGAAATTGAGGAATACTGGCCTCGAACACACGAGGCTCGAGCTTCTTCAAAAGCACCCTTTCACTTTAAAACAAGACCGGATTCCTAGGAAACACCAGTTGGCTAAAATCTTTAAGGTTTTAATACCAACTAAAAAGGACTGGAGACGGCCAGGTTTTCTCACTGGTCCGGGAGTGGACCTATGGTATACGGATGGATCGGGGGCAGGCGGCTGTTTCGGGGCCGGGGTGTTTGGACCCACAATAGATTACCGAGAGAGCATACCTGTAGGTGGACTGGCCACGGTCTTTCAAGCCGAGGTGCTAGCCATCCACAGGTGTGCCGAGATCCTAATGGAAACAAGAAGGAGTCGGCACACTATATACATCTGCTCCGACAGCAGAGCAGCTATAGAGGCCCTTACGAAGACCACTACTGAATCAGCAGTAGTTTGGGACTGTAAGCAGGCACTGAATAGCTTAGGGAAAAAATGTACTTTAACCCTAGTGTGGACTCCTGGACATCAAGGAATCTTAGGCAACGAGGTGGCGGACGGCCTGGCAAAAGCGGGGACGCAAATGAACCCAGCCACACAGGCCGTCGGCGTACCTTATGCTGCAGGGAAAAAGACCATCAAGCTCGAGGGCGGGCACGTAAAATCCTGGCAAGCGACCAGCGGCTGTAGAATATCCAAACAGCTAATGAGCCTCTCTCTGCGAAGCAGAGCAAACGAACTGCTATCAATGAGTAGAACCAAGGCGAGAGTTGGTGTGGGCCTACTCACGGGCCATGTGGCCCTCAGAGGTCACCTATACAACCTCGGAATTACCACGCAAAAAAAGTGCAGATTATGCGGAGAGGAGAGCGAGGACAGCATACACATTCTGTGTCATTGCCCCGCACTTGTCTGCAAGAGATACAGATCCTGGGGCAACATATTCGTAAAGCCCAAGGATCTTGAAGACAAGAAGGTAAACAGCTTTATAAGACTGGCGACAGATGCCAGGCTAGGGCTGCTATAGTAACCTTGGTAATAAACGAGGAGTTACTATAGTGGTACTATATAGATTAAGGTGACGTTAAGGCCTTTCGTAGGCCCACCTGGTTTCTCTACTACTACTACTACTACTACTACTACTATTATTTTTATTAATAAATTTTAAAAGGTGATTACCACTTATTATTAAATTATGATGATTTTTTGATTTTGCTGTTGTATTCAATATATGCTGATAATCTTGTATTAAAAATTTGAGTAGCGCATTTAACTTTTATTAAAAAAATGTTTGCTCTAATTACATGTTCATCAGTAATTTTGACAATTAACAATTTAATGTATTTGTATAATATATCAATTTTATATGCGAGTTCAATGATATCCCATGGTGCAAACTGTCGTTCGTTTTTTTTAAATTTGTAACATTAACTTCTAAATTTTTAGTTAATAAATTATTACGAACTCCTTTTATAAGATGTATTGAATTATAGATGAATACAATATTTTGCCCACAAAGTTTTTTAATACCTCCTGTTGTAAAAAAATAAAAATCATTTTACGTTTTATTTATTAATATTATTTATATTTATATAATTTATTTTTATTTATATTAATATTATTTATATTTATTATCATGTTTTATATATTAATTAAGGTGGTTTTATCGTGCAAGTCCCAGTCAAAAGTTAGTCCCTCCATATAACTAATAATTCAATAAAAACAAGCGTAATTCAAGAACAACATTTCGCATAGACTGTACGCTCCACATAGACATATTGTGTATACATATACGTGCACACAACGAAACACAGGACATGCGCGATGATGTGAAAGTGTGACAATGTTGCATTTTCGAATTGAAATTAACTTTGACCATTGATAGATTGTCAATGTATTTATTTATAAACTTTTCAAAAAGTTAAAAAAGATTTACTTTAATAAATTATCAGACTCTTCACATAGAATAATAATGGGTGACAAAAGGCACTAAGAGTCAACACGCAGAAAACGTTGCGTTAAAGCTTCAAATAAAGTTGTATTCTATAACTTAAATTACATCTTCTTACATTAGTCGTACGTTTCGGTCCACTTCAGATTCAGTGATTAATACATAGAGTTCCACCAGATTCCTAATATTCCGTTCGTAATTGTCAGAAACATGTTCCGCAATGTATGAGATGGGCCTTCAGTTCCAAAATTGAATGCAAGATTCATCTATGAAAATGATCTTATTGAGAAATGCACTTAAAAA